AGACATACAGCAGTTGTAGCAAAGCAATGAACTTAACCAATGTTCCCTAAGTGCTAGGCTAGAATTCTAAACACAGGACAATTTCTTTTACTGTGGGATTAATCTCAACAGATCTACTCTATTTGACAAATTCTCCCCCCGCCCCATCTTGCTTGTTACCTTGGACACTTCAGTGTATCATGTGCCTTTCCCAAATAGCTTTGCTTTCAACTATTAATGATTTTCAAAAACTGTTGTGTCTTGACATCAGACTATTTGCTTCCCAGTCTCTGCTGTAAACTAAATGAATTCCTTTAATAGCAAAGTCGTCATCATCAAGATGCTTTATTCTTAGAGAAATAAAGAGAGGCAGCTGTGCTCTTCCTATGCTAACTGCTATGAAGTATAAAGACTTTTTGATTTGCACATTCCAGTATATAAAGGGAGGAAATCGAGCCCAGATTAAAGTTTTTACATACTTTCTGACCTGGAACCAATGAAGGGGAATTTGGGACCAGATTTTGCAAGATCCTGCATGAATCTGTGTTATGCATTTCCACATTTATTAAAATGAACAAACAATATGAAACGGTCAAGCGGCAAAATGAGAAATAAATTTTATTAAGGCTAGTCACCTACTCCTGTATGTCCTTTACTTTCTGGTTTGTATTATTCTTGAGAGAATGAACAAGGAGAATAAAAAATGTCATGAAAAACTAACACCAATGGCTACTGGCCAGCATCCCTTCTAGTGACCTTCATAGCTGCAGTAACCAAACTCTTTCTTTTCTCCTTTTCGAAGTAGAGTATTTTGCATCTTTCTCATACTCATCTAACTATTCTGATTTTTTTGTGTGTGAGATAGCTTCATATCAAGAAAGGAGATTTCCTCTAAGCAATTCTGAGCAAGAATTTAATAAATTAAGGAGCTTTCCAAACCAACCATTAATTTCATCATTTCAAAATTCTTTTTGCATATCATGGGAGTTTAAATGGAAAACATTATGAACATATTTCTGAAAAAAACCCATACAGTAATTCCACTACAAACAGAGTAAGTGTATATGAATTTATAGTAATTCTTAGGTCTCCATATTATAGTAAAACTAATATAATTTGTTGCATATAATTTAATCTACTAAAGATTATTTCCCCTTTGGGAATAATCTAAGCCCTTTTCAAAAAGCATGGGTATATCAAATACAGCTATTGAAGTATTAACACAGTTTACACATGATGTCTTTCATGTGGGAATCACAAAGTACTTGACAAAGATTATCCTTCACTACAAAAAATAGCAAGAATCATTATTTAACATTCTGTGTACCAGAAAAGCAAAGTGCACTCTGACAAAGATATTAACCAACTATCCTAGCATCATATGTCAAGTAGTTAAACTGGGAACGGAACCTAAAGGTTCTGGCACCTAATTCCCTGTTGAAGGCAGTAGGCTACATTACATCCAGTTATACAAAACAGCACTGACATCAGCAGAAGTACAGTTTATCCCCTCTAGCATTTTAGAATGTCAGTCTCCATAACACTCTCAGTGGTTTTTGTTGCAACACAGCAAGTATTAGATTTAATTGGTATTAATTATAATTAGGAAATGTAAACAGTTCAGTTTAAGCAAATCAATATGGTTTTTTTCTTACAGTATTTCCAACTTAGCATTGACTAGAAATGATGGGAAATTGTGCGTGTGAGAAAAACCTGGATATCTATGAGTTCCAGCCCTATATTCAAGCCAGAAGTTTCAGAAAAGCATCTGAGCTTTGGATACTTGCTGTGAGCTGGCAGAAAGATAACAGACAGTTTTTTCTTACATTTGCTTGAACCAGCCATAACTCTTTTTTAAACAAACAAAACTGAAAGCAGATGCTTAACGGATGCTCAGTATTATCAGTTAACTCCTAATTTCAGAGAAGCAGCTGAGTTTGCAGACACTTATCTAAACTGAACCTCTGAGCTTGACATTTGTCCAATGCCTATTCTAGTACCATAAATCGAGATGGGTTTCTGTGTTACTTTTACCTATCTTCAGTGTAGAATTTTATAGGATTTCTATTCTAATGCCACAGGAAGTACCACCCACCAATTATAAAGATTCAAATCAACCAGGTGACTGAAGGAGAAATAGGATCAATAATTATAGGATCTGACAACCTACTGATAACTCACTCAGAAAAAGGTAGATGAAACAGAAAGGTCAAAAGATAAGAAGTTATATTAGACAAAATTGAACGTGTATGATTAGATACCATAAAACATAATACTATAAAGCAGAAGGAGAACAAGAGAACTTAAGAAAAAAGTGGACAAGTAAGTAATTCATGTGTTTTTGCTCTTTCTAGAACACAAAAAGCCTGAAACACTAAAAAGTGTCCAATAAATTTAATAATTTATATAAAGAACACATTGTCCCAGGACACCGTGCAGGAATGTATCCTCTCCTTTTTTTTTAAAAAAATATATACATTATTCACAAACATAAGGATAAAATTTTCTGTTACACTGACAAGGGTAAATGCATCTCAATTTCCACATTGATAGGCATAAACAAGGTAAATGTTTGGAGGAATATGTTTTTCTATTTGAATTGATAACGCACAATTAAATTGCAATTTCCTCTAAAGCAGCACTAATCTTCTTCCAAGATCAACTGGGTATTTTTATCATATTCTACTCATCAGAAAGTAGGGTAGTTCAGCTTTGCAGAAGAAACCAGGTACTGTGTTGCCTTTATTGTTTGGGACTGTGGTGATATACATTTGCTATCCCTTCTGCTGGTTTTAGCTGGGGTGGAGTTAACTTTCGTCATAGCAGCTCGTATGGTGCTGTGTATTGGATTTGTGACCAAAACAGTGTTGATAACACACCCATGTTTTGCTGAACAGATCTTGCACAGCATCAAGGCCTTCTCTATTTCTAATGCTGCCCCCCAGAAAGTAGGCTGGGGGTGCACAAGAAGTTGGGAGGGGACACAGCTGGGACAGCTGGCCGAATCAGCGAAAGGGATAACCCGTACCATATGACATCATGCTCAGCAATAAATCTGGGGAAAGAGGGAGGAATGGAGAGGAAGTTCAGAGTTAATAGCGTTTGTCTTCCCAAGTAGCGGTTACACGTGATGGAGCCCTGCTTTCCTGGAAATGGCTGAACACCTGCCTGCCCATGGGAAGTAGTGAATGAATTCCTTATTTTGCTTTGCTTGTGCATGCAGCTTTTGCTTTCCCTATTAAATTGCCTTTATCTCAACCCATGAGTTTTCTCTTTTACCCTTCCTACCCTCTTTCCTATCCTGTTGAGGGGGAGTGAGCAAACAGCTGTGTGGTGCTTGGCTGCCTACCGGACTAACTACAGTCCTCAGGAGATCTAGGGTGTAATAAGAATTACAGAATCTGTGATATGACCGTGGAAGACACCATTTGGTTAGGGTCTTGGCAAGATCTGGGCAAAACTGAATTATGGTCCAGATCTATACCTGAGTCTACCATATTGACTGCTCTGCTCTGATGCATTTCTGGCCAGTAGTGAGGAAAGAACACAGACTGTTCATTTCTGAGCTGCTCTAACAGGGTAATTCATACAGTACAATGAATCAATTAATCTATACAAGATACAATTACACTGATCTGCTACAATACTTTGGCAAGCAAGATCAAGAAGCATGTTGGAGATCATAATGGTTCTGGAGAAATATATATAGTACTATCTCAATCTTGATGTTACTGTCAAAATGTAAGTGAAGATTTCCAATTAAATAAGTTGGAAAGACAATACAACTGTTCTATAGTGACATAAAGATTTCCATTACAATTTTTTTGGTTTATGAGTTCTGTGGCAAGAAATTTGCAACTTTAATACTGCCCAAATACACTTGCAACTAAAAGAAAAAAATATATCAAATAAATATATCCATTGAGCTCCATAGCCTGGGAGAAGGGTGAAGAAGAATATTAGTTTATTTACAATACAAATTAACAGGGACTGCTACTTTTAAAGCATCCTGTTTTCACTTATCAAAGTATTTAATAAGACAGCCTCATGAAATAAAGTTATTAAAAAAACATTAGGACAATCTTTATAAAAAGAATTAAGCTAATCTGTAAATTATTACAACAATCTAAATGATCACTAATAGTAAACATTCGGCCTGGATTAATAGATTCAAATAGTTCACCTGACTCTTCAAACAGTAAATTGTTAAAACTATTCATGATTTCTGTGAGAAATACTAGCCTTTTGGTAATATTTAATTCTTAACAATTCTTAATATAGTCGTCAGAAATACAGCACTTACGCTGTTTACCCAAATAGTCCGTACTCCTAGAACCTGAGGTAGGGGAATCTATTCCCATATCTGTTTTGCACAGCTCCAGAGACAATGGTGCTGACTGGGAACACATACTCTGGGAAACAGGATAGAGCAGGACTGTTCTTTTCAACAGCAGCAACCTGCGTTTACATTGTCTTGAACTGATGATCAAATTGTACCTTGGATCTCACCCCTGTTGTCTCCAGACTCTACCCTGGTAAATCACTTCTTTACGCCTATTTCTGTCTCACACAAGACAAAATCTTTAAATCTGAATTAGTCTGTTCATAAGCCCACACTATTGATAAAAGATGCCATTACTTCACGTATATATGTGGACTTTCTCTAAAAAGGTATTTTTCATTATAGTCGTTTATAAACTTGAAGCTTTATATTCCCTCTGATAAATCTGGTCTATGATGAATATCTTTTTCATTTTGCATACAAATAATGATGAAGAACAAAGCAGAAAATAATCAATAGGAAATGGGTGAGCTCAAGGGAATAAATATCTTTGACAAGTGATGTCCAAGATCTGTGTAACCATTATTCTTAACATATATTAGGCACATTAGGAACATAATCCATAACAGATAGTAGGAATTTTCAGAGGCAACAGGTATTTAATGCAGCTTACATTATGTATAACTTTGTAAAACACTACACTATTTGCCAATGTATTTTTTCTTTCAAATGTGGTTACCTTTATGGAAGAATTCCTCTAATTTCTCCTTGAAGGGCTGGAGATGCTCTTCAGAAGACTCTCTGCAAACTAACTTCATCTGCTTTTCAGAGGCTACAAAAAGAAGTTGAGAGACATTTATGGCATAATTCGCCTACCAGAAGGATGTCAGCACTGTAGAAGCCTACATCTAAGTCACCTAGACTTACTTTAGAGGAAATTGAAATAATAAGCACTAAGGAATTCAGCAATTTCATTAAAATAAAAATTATCGATAATAGTCTAGCATAGCAAATAAAAAATTCTATATGTGTTTAAAGAGTGGAATTTGTCTTTAGTAATGACTTTGTCCCTAAAATTCCAGCTGTGTGTTGAGACTTACCACTAACAGAGCCTGCCTCACACACAAATTCTAGATGGTATTTAAAGGTCTAAACTTTGTTTCTGTGGTGAGTGGAGGATGCCTTGTATCTGGACTGATTTTAATCAATCAATGCCACGCATCCTATACTTAACCGTTTTTCCTAACACAGATGCAGGAATTCAGCTTTACTTAAGTATTCAAATTCCAGGCCATGATATGAAATAGTAGAAGTCTGTAAGAAAGTTAACTTACACCTAACTGCAATTTGTTTACTATTTAATCCATCTGTTATTTTAAGACCTGATGCCATGCCCATTTCTAAAAACTCCAGGTTATTCACCAATGAATTTTAACATTCCTAGAACTTCTAGCAACTATGTAGATTCCAGCATTCCACACTGAAGACGAAATGAAAACTGTCAGAAATCAATTAGCAAATGAATTCATTAACTACTCTAAGATTATTTTTTTTTCCCTACAACTCTTCATTCCCAAGAAGCTAAATTTAGGTGGAAATTTATTTTGGAGTTAAACCCAAGAGTTACAGTTTGGCTGCATGAAACATATTCACACCATATTGCTACCACCATTATATAATTCAACTTATTGCAGCAAAAATTAATACAAAACTGTGGAAACAGAAGCTGAGAATCTGTAATTAAAATGTCATGTTAACGTAAGTTTGCAGTGCCATGAAAAAAGTCAATGGAAGGTCAAAAACAGATGCTTACATTTCATTGTACAACTAGTAGTGTGCCTATAGTACTCTTGGACCACCAGGCCTTACTAAAAAAGACAGCTTTTCAATTAATTGAGATCAGAAATACATTTGGACAGTTGTTGTTATGGAAAAATGCTGAAAAGACACCTGCTCCTACCTAACTGTATATTTTAATTTAGCATGCCTCCACAAATCATGTAGGTTGCGGACTATGACATTATTCAGGAGCTCCAGAGCTTATGTAAAATGACCTGGGCTACAGTCTAAGTTTACCTTTAATCTCTAGTCTTGCAACCTGTAGCATAAGACAGACCTTTGAAACTGTTCAGAGTAAAGCTAATGGATATTTGTTTGTATGCCAGATAGTAGGCAGAATGGAGCATTAATTTAAACATAACAGGTTGGGAAAGTCTTTTATTAGCTGCTCAGTTCTGTGTCATTAATAAATTAAATTAAGCAAAACACATCACAAATCAGGGTAGTTTATATGACTTGTAAAGATTATTTTCTTATGATACATGCCTTTTACCATAAAAAATTTGAACTTTCCGTGACTGTTATCATACACTGAATGAAATTTATGTATACTTAACACTTATGTTTGTAGAATGAGAAGGAGATTTCTACAGCTATTCAAGCGAATTTTAACACTTTACTTTGGAAGAAGATGGATACATTAGAATGTACAGGGGAAAAATATCTAGCAAAATAACTGAGACAGTATTGTTAAGTTTCTGATTGGAAGTTTGAACAAAGTAGCAGCTACATGTTTGTGTTTTTTCTTTGTGTTTAAACAAATCTACAGAAAATTATATAAGGCAATATTTAGAAATTATTTTAGATAAATATAAAATGCAAAAGTGTAAAAGTATTAGTACACATATTGTGTTCAGGCATTTGGTACACAGTGACTATAGAAGGCACATGATTATTACAATCATGTAAGGTTGCAATGACTGCAAGCCAATAATTATTTTATAATAATCTTATATAAATAAAGACATATAAATCTATGCAGAAGTAGATTTCCATGACCATGTATTATAATAATTAGCTTGTAGCTACAGTAGTATCTAAACATACTCTAACATACTCTAGAAAGGTGTTTTCCCAAACATGTGGTGGTGCTAATGCATTGTCTGGAGTCTTGAAAGCTTCTTAGATGCATCCAATAAGTTTTAATAACACAGGACTTAGAAAGGTTACTCAGATATGTCCCATGTAAATATTTAAATGACCAAGAGTAGGATGAATTGTTTCTACATGTTTTTTGATGACATAAATAAAGATGACTAATATTAACCTTAATCAGATGACAAAAGCTACAAGAAATATGGACAAGATGAAGTAGTACCAGCATATAGAGAAAAAGCTGATTTGGATAGTGAATTCTTAAGAAGAATCCTAACATCCTTAACAAGAAGATCAACATTTGGCATGAGGGGAGAGGCAGAGTAAAAAGAAAGGCACAGAAGGGAAGAGAAAATGAGACAGATGATGTAGAATAAGTCAATCAGGGGTACTGTTTAAAAGTCTAAAAGTTTGAGATGAGATGAAATGAGATGAGATACCAGTTTGCATTGCTTAAGTCATCTTGGAACAATGAAACTGAATGAGACAAAAGAAGTCAAGTAAATGCTGGCAGACTCTAAGAATTTACATTATTGGAAAGCCTTACAAAGAGACTTTTGGACAATTCTCTCTGCTGCTGATATATCTAGATGATATCTATCTAAAACTAAAATCTATCAGTTTACTTCCTGAATTTCTTTCAGATAACTGCCAAAATAGACTGAAGGGCTCTGAGAAAGTTTTAGCTTTCACCTAAAGGAATCAAGGACATTGGTGATGAAGTGAAAATCTGTTAATCACAAAAGCAATGTATTTGCCCTATACTGGTTAATCCTCCTTTAACTGACTCTGAATTTAGGTTATACTTCTCTCAATAACCTATACTTTTGGTCTACAAACAAACAAATAATTGGGCAACTGAAGGTTAACTAATTCTGTTTAAAGTCAACTGCACTGAAATATTTGAATAAAATTTGAATTTATTTACTTGCTAATGTTAAAAATAAGACACACCACACAGGTATGGAGTCACTGGCTGAAGACAGTCATGAAGTTCAGCTAGAACTGCAGTCTCAAAAATTTTGTATTCCTGCTGAAATCTCTCCAGTCTCAGTCTTCCCTTCAATAATGAAATGTCCTATGCAGAATAACGGTTCCTTGTCCAAAACCTATAAGGAAATGATGGGTAGGACCACCAATCAAATGTATCTTTTAAGCTGAAGAACTTTGTAACATCATCAAATCTGCCTGGGGACAGATATGGCAAAGAATGGTGGAAGTGTGTTCAAAGGAATCACAAATCAGATACAAATAAAGACACACTTCGAAGAGGAAAAAGATTTTAATGACAGGGCTAAATCAAAGGTTTTGATTAAAATGGTAGTTGTAATTCTACATATTAAAGTCAGCTGGTCTTTGTCAACCTAAATTTGTAGTATTGGTGAAAGGCTACCATACAACTCTGTGACCTGCCTCAGTTCTACACAACATAATATAAAGGTTTCTGGTAACTAACATTCATTGAATTTCCTGTTTGTTTACTCAAAAATTTACTTGAAATGGTAATTTATTTTTTTTTTAAACAATACAAGTCATGCAAAACATTACATAAAAAAATTAAAACTAAAAAGTCCTGTTCCATCAGTTGCTCTGATTTTCTTTGCTGAAAATGCTATAACATATTTGAGGGAACATGACATGAGTTTTTTATATTTTGTTCTCACATTTACTACAATAGAAACCCTTTCCTTTTTAAAAGAAAATTATTTTAGCAAGGTTTTTATTACAATGATTCTGAGGTAAAGGATCCTATTATGCATTCTTTCTTTGAAATAAATTCTGAATAGCTTCTTTCTGGAAAAAAATCTTTCTGAAATTTAGGAATCTGAAGGAATTCTGAGGAATCTGACAGCTAGCACACCACACGTACACTTCTCCTCTCACCATCTCATTCCAAAATAAATAACCTGTTTCATCACTACTGAGTTCAAACAGATGCAAATTCTCCATTACTGTAATAAACTTCTGGTTCGTTTTCTTGGTATGCATTATATGTTAGTGAAATTAAAAGTAATATGCTACTTTGAAAACTGTTTATTTCTAAATGAGCTATTGCAAAAAAAGAAAATATGAGTATGCAATAGTATTTGAAAGCCCTTACAAATTGTTGGATGTACATCATGCTTCACCCACTGCAAATCTTGGCCACAGAAATGGAAACCATTAGCAAAACATTAAAACAAAGCTGGAAACTGCTGATTATCAGTTTGCCACTGTCTTCAGATTTAATGCAGTACTTGGCTCAGAAAGTTCTTTAAAAATCCCCAATATAAGTGAAAATATTTACAAAATAGAATGTCTCTCACTTAATGTCTGTTGGGCAATAGTCTTTTAAAACTCCACAGACACTTGTAAATCTGTCAAAAGAATCACTGCCCATAAACAAACTTTCACGTAAAGAGCATTTCAGTGTCAATCAGACAGGATTTGGAATATTTTAAGCACCATTTTTAAAGTAAACGCAAACCCAGAAATAGTTTAATGATGATAACAGTAAATTACTAACTATTTACTCACCAGAACCCACCAGTAGCATTTACTGGAATCATCCTGACAGTGAAACCAAGTATCAACACCATGAATTCCTATAAACCTGTCACTGACACTATCCCCCATGAGTTATGCCACTATGAAAGCTGCTAAACACACACCCCCACCTCCTCTTGTCTGTTCAGAGCCTAGCAGGTTATACTGCCAAGCTTGCTATTTTATTTTCTTGTTATAATGCAGGCTTATATTTGACAGGAGGGTTACTATTTGATAATTCTTTTTTAGAACCCTTACCTTTTCTGTTTCAAAGGGGATCTGAAACCATACCACAAATGAATTCAATGTAGCACTAAATAACCCCAAATTTCTGTATGAGAGGATCCATGATTTTTTACAGTGCAGAAGCCT